TGAGCCCTGAGTCAGGTTCTGTGCTCAGTGGGGGGGAGGGGGAGGGTCTGGTTGGGATTCTGCCTCTCCCCACCCATGCATGCTCTCTAAATTAATTAATTAATTAAATAAAATCTTTTTGAAAAAATGTCCATAATGTAATGTTAAAGGGGAATGATCAGTGAAAGACGATGGACTCTGAAAAACAAACTGAAGGTTCTGGAGGGGAGGAGGGTGGGAGGATGGGTTAGCCTGGTGATGGGTATTAAAGAGGGCACGTTCTGCACGGAGCACTGGGTGTTATACGCAAATAATGAATCATGGAACACTACATCAAAAACTAATGATGTAATGTATGGTGATTAACATAACATAATTAAAAAAAAAGAAGGAAAGCTGTCATCGAGTAAAAAAAAAGGGGGGGGGAATGATCAGGTGATAAAACTGAATACATACTACAAACAGTTCCACCGGAAGAAATTTATGCAGGAAAGAAAAGACTGAAAAGACATAAGCTAGATGTTAACAGTGGAAAGCTTCATATGGCAAGACTGTATGTATGGGTAATTATTTGTCTAACTATAATTTTTCTGTGCTTTCCAAATTTGCCTACAATGAACAGGTATACTTGTAAAAGAGAAAATTAAGGTTTTTTGTTATAAAATAGTATCTAAATGATTAAAATCATTTCTAAATTATATGTGCTGAGGGGTGCCTGGGTGACTCAGTCAGTTAATCGTCTGCTTTCAGCTCAGGTAATAATCCCAGGGTCCTGGAATTGAGCCCTGCATCAGGCTCCCTGGCAGGGAGCCTATTTCTCCCTCTCCCTCTGCCACTCCCTCTGCTTGTGCTCTCTCTCTCTCAACCTGTTCAATAAATAAATAAAATCTTTTAAAAAAATAAAAATAAATTATATGCGCTGAGAAAATTTAAAACAATGTATAAATTCCTGTATGTGAGGAATAGCTAAGAAAATCATAATTAGGAGAATGAAATTGCAGTATGTATCCATGTATGTACACCTACATTCACACATGAAATAAGATATAAGAGGGGACTCTGAAAAACACAGGCAAACCAGCACTGGCATGGTGAGGAAGCGGCTTCCAAGCTCCCACCAGCCATCACAATAACTGCATGCACTCCAAAACAAGCAATGGGCTTGCCATGCAAACACAGCTTCACACTGGTCTCCCAGGCTTCCCTCCCAGCCAGACTGCAGCCCCTAAGCCCTTCTTTAATAGGAATCCTGAGTCCCCTAGGCCCCCATCAGCAAGGGAATTGAAACATAAAACATAAACTGACAAATCTTTTTAAGTGGAGGTATGGCTAACTATATAATGATTTTTGTCATGCTCTAAAACAAGATTTAAAGCCAAGGAAAAATGCCTTAACCCCTTCACCATTTTAAATATCTAAGGCAAGACTCTTTTCCACTGGCCTGGAGAATCCACAAAATCAGTGTATCTTCAATTCCAGAAACTAAGACATTAGCACCTTTCGTTGCCCTGGGATACGAAAAGACAAAAGTCGGGCTACTGGGTGGCTCAGTGGGTTAAAGCATCTGCCTTCAGCTCAGGTCATGATCCGGGGGTCCTGGGATCGAGTCCCGCATTGGGCTCCCTACTCGGGGGGCAAGGAGTCTGCTTCTCCCTCTGCCCCTCCCCCCGCTTGTGCTCGCTTTCTCTCTCTCCCTCTCAAAAATAAATAAATTAATTAATTAAAAAGAAAAGAAAAGACTAAAGTCAAGAAACATAAGAACAGCAAACCAACTAAGGGGGTGGGCACCAGCCTCCTACTCACCTCTAAGACTACACAGCTTTACCCCACTACTTGGGCAGGGACAGAGGATCGTCCCTTTCATTCTACATCATAAGTAACTGACCAACTATATGGGGAAAGAAAGATGAGAAGAGCAGGCAAAGAATAAAAAATGATGAGCCCAGTCCACAGGGACCCACTTCCAGAGAAGGCTAAGTACATACATCTCCTTTATTCTACCACTGATTATTTCCCTAGAGATACTGGGAAGCTAAAACCATTGTCCTACAGGTTCTCGTGGGCCCAGCTCTTATAGCTAATATTCAATAATTGACAGCTTCTTTAAGAATGCACAGATTAGGGGCAACCGGGTGGCTCAGTCGGTTAAGCATCCAACTCTTGGTTTCGGCTCAGGTCATGATCTCGCTGTTGTGGGATGGAGCCCTGCGTTGGGCTCTGCGCTCAGCATGGAGTCTGCTTCAGATTCTCACTCCCTCTCCTGCCCACTGTCTCTCTCTCTCTCAAATAAATAAAAAAATAAAATCTTAAAAAAAAAAAAGAATGTGAGATTAGTTAATTCAATCACTTCTGTTGAGGAAATGGGACAAGTCAGTTCCTTTTTTCAAGAACTGACTCTCCCAACCTACCCTCTCCTCTAAACCCCACTCTTTGTACAGTGCTAGCTCTCTCACAGCTTGCCAGGCTTTCATACGCACTAGGCACCTGGGAATCTTACTAGGATATAGGTCCTGGTTTAGCAGGGCCAGGTGATACAAAGGTTAATTAAATTCCAATCTCTGATGGGGAGACCCAGGCAGCGGTAAGGCTCCCTAGGTGACCCTCATGTGCAGCTGAGGTTGCACACACAGTGCTAGAAGATTTGGAAAGGCTGCCAGCTCAGTCCAACTGCTGGCTTTGCTGAGTGGACCCCTGCACCAATAATACCAGCACACTAGCAATGCCTTGGAGTTGTTGTGAAGACAGACAGAGTTAAGGCAGATAAAGCACATGGTAAGTTCTCTAAAACATTGGCCAAGGATATTATTTTATTACTGCTACCGATATGATTATTATTCAGGTAGGCCGATGCAAGTAGGAGAAGGCCAAATTTGTAAGGAAACAGAGTTCTTGGGTAAACTATAAGTTAAAAGAAGTTAAGAAAATATGAGCTGAGGAGGAGCCTTGAGAGCGTGGCTAAGAGCAAATGCGTGAGGAAGTGACCAGGGTCCTGTGCATAGCCCACAACCAGGGTAACAGTCATAATTATAGCTGCCATTTTCTTGGGCCTTAATGTTTCAGGCACTGTCCTAACTACTGTGAATTGTCCAGGCAGAACCCAGGGGTTTCCATTACTCAGAATCAACTGTCTCAAGGCCCTAGGCACAAGCCGGCCTGGGATCCTGACAGGGGTGGCGAGCATGCTTCCTTTCTCCTCAGAGCAGAGGAGCTACAGAGCAACCCAGTAAGCGGTGAGGACTGGACACAACTGCATTAAGTGTGAACCATGGCAGACCAATGCCAGGCTCAGGAGAGACTGTGTCTAGAATCCAGTGGGGCACCCCTGTCACCTCCACTCCCTGGTCAGGCCCCTCTCAAGGGCTGACTGCCCAAGAAGGCACCGGCAAATAAGGCAGGAGTCTCAGGAGCCAGGCAGGAGGAGGCAACAACTACAGGAGTTTCCACCTCCTGGGAAGGCAGTGACACAGCTGGGGAGCGTGCGGACGAGGCTAGTCTACATTTTGAACCATATGCTGCTCTTTACTCTAGTGCTTTTTGTTCCTTCTTCCTCTCAGAATCGCCTTAAGAGCTTCTTTCCATGCACCTCCTAGGTGCCCTTCCTCCCCAGCTGTCTCCCAGGGAGAGGGGAAGAAGAGTTTGAAGGCCTGGCCACTTCACAGAGATGCTTCGTGTCACAGCCCTGTATGCCACCCTCCACACAGAAGAGTGGCAGTGACATCCCATGAAGGAGCAGCTCATGAGACTGAAACAGCTGAAGTGTACTCATTAAGGGAGGCCAGGAGGGCAGGATTTCCAGTCAGCCAGGCTGGAAGTCTGAAGCTGGTTCTACAGCACTCAACTTTGTCTGCTCTTCTGAATCTACATTTAAATAATCTTTCATTCACTTTCAAAGGGCTGTGACCACCCTAAGAGGACCTTCCCCAGAACAACCCCCAGGATGTGGGCTCCCATCTTACAGATGCAGATGCTGACAGGTCTAAGGAGCTCACTCAAATGTGTGAGCACAGAGAGCAAGAAGGACTGGACTGGGCAACCAGGCTCAACACTGTAACTCCACATCAGGAGTTAGGCCTGGAAAGCACTGAACTCCATATTCAGCATCCCACATATGTAATCTCATTTTTCCTCAGAGCAGCACCACTGAGAGCTGAACGTGACCATCTTCATTTACAAATAGGCAAAGGGAAACATAAAGGAGCTCAATGACTGTCCAAGGGCAGAGCTCTAGTCAGGGAAGAAGGCAGAGTCCAATCCAAGTTCATGTGGCCCTCAGACTGAGCCCGCCACCTCTCCAAGCACCCAACAACCTGACCTGCTCTCTCCACAAAATTTGAAATGCTGCAAACTTTCAGGTCTGGTCACTTCTCATGATTATTCTACCATCTTTCCTTTTAAAAAAACAAAAAAAACCCCTCTTTTTATGTAGAAATGTTTCTTCTGGATTCCATGAATTTCTTCAACTTCACAGCCCCCATTTTATAAATAAGGAGCCAGAGGCCCAGAAGGATTAAATGGCTTACTGGGATGTTAAGTGAATCAGACAAGAAAGAAGGACCCAAATTCAAAAGGCCCTCTGTTTCAGGCCATGGCTCTGGGGTATCAGCCAGACTAAGTGATTCCCTGCAAAATGTGCAAACTGGAAGCCAGGGGGCAAAGCAATGTCAAATAGTGATGTGGGGCTTCCCCATTAGCTCACTTATATGAAAAGAATCCTAAGGACATGGTCAGTTCAGCAGAACTGCCACCCCACCGCCATTTGCACATTAATAAATCAGAGAAGGAAAACTAAAGATGGGGAGGGAGAAGTTACTCATCATCAATAACTTTATTCCCTCAGTCTTCCCAGTTCTGTAAAGAAAAACATAATACCCCCATACATTGCTCTGAAAGTGACATTTCCATTAGAGAACAATGACTTGCAGGACATAGTGTGTGCCATATTACTCAACAAAAGCAGAATCATAAAATGTCAAATGCTTTTCAAATTCCTATTTAGAGAGCAGAAAAACATAATTATTTTGTCAAAATCAGTTACCATGGCAGCCTGAGCCCCTTGACTCTGTTTGGCCTTCAGTTCATAAATGCAAATGCACACTCATTTTATAGAGTTGTTTGGTATTTTATTACCTACCAACTAAGAGTTGAAACAAAGTTTTAAGTGTGGAGGATTCTCACCTGTGAAAGCATTTGTGGCCTGATAATCAGTTTCCTGCATACTGCTCCCCAGACAAGCCTGTGCTCCAACTCTTAAGCTATCCTGTCAAGAGGAAACCGCCTGGGCGAGGCCTCAGGTCACTTCCATCTTAGCTTGTCGGAGTCCATCGCTCTGCCCCGTCCGGCTTTTGGTAGCATCTGATGCCCACCTGCCCTGCTCCCAGACCCTGAGAGCAGGCAGTACCTGGGACAGCACCCAGTCCAGCAGCGTGCACGCTTGGGGCACACAGTCACGTCAGCCGTCCAGCCAAAGAGTGAAGGCCATGGTGAGCCCAGGAGCAGAGGAAGCTGTCCCGCTGACACCTGCTTTCCCACCTTAGAGTGAGGCCCTCCTCAGCACTTGACAGCCAGCATCCTCCACGGGTCTCAGCCGCTCTAAGGGAGCTCAGTATGGTCTGATCTGCTGCTCTCTGCTTCGCCTCTCCCCTTGCTGAAATTAAAAAGAAAGAGATCACTTTCCTGATGACCTGTAGGAGCATTAAATTTAGTAGACCCGTAGAGGCCAAAAAAAGAGAGAAAAAAGAAAATGCCACCCAGAGTGGTGTTCATGGCCATGCTATGGGCACTGGGGGAGCTCTGGGGAGGGAGCAGGTGCAACACCTTTTCCTGAGCATCTGTGAAGGTGCAGGGAGCAGAGGTAGCTTTTACTTGCACCCCAAAAAAAGACAGAAGAAGACAGCATTCTCTGCTCTAAGCCTCCCTAAAAATGGCTACAAAAGTCACACAACATTCAAATGTCTTTCCCTCAGTTACTCATAGTTCATATATACCCTGAAGAAGAAACCCATTTCCCAAGCTTGTTCCTGAGGTATTAGAAGTGAGGTCTATGGTTCATATCCACTGACATCAGCACTCCAGGAAACTTGGGTTGAGTAGTTTTAGAAAATGATTCTTGGGGGTGCCTGGGTGGCCCAGTCGTTAAGCATCTGCCTTCGGCTCAGGTCATGATCACAGGGCCCTGGGATCAAGCCCCACATCAAGCTCCCTGCTCAGTGGGAAGCCTGCTTCTCCCTCTCCCACTCCCCCTCCTTGTGTTCCCTCTCTTGCTGTGTCTCTCTCTGTCAAATAAATAAATAAAATCTTTGAAAAAAAAATGATTCTTGGGGCACCTAGGTGGCTCAGTCGGTTAAGCATCTGCCTTCTGCTTGGGTCATGATCCCAGGGACCGGGGGGGGGGGGGCGGTCCCTGCTCAGCCAGGAGCCTGCTTCTCCCTCTCTCTCTGCCTGCCACTCTGCCTGCTTGTGCTCTCTCTCTGTCAAAAAATAAAAAATCCTTAAAAAATGACTCTCAAGGGGGAAAACAAAGTCCTGTATCAATATTTTAAAGAATGAGAAGGAAAAGCAAATTTCACCTGAAAATTTACATTACATATTACATAATAATAAAAGTACTTTACAAAATACTTTTCCAGATATTTTAGTGTTGTTATATTAAACAAGAAGCAACACTAATAACAAGAATGTTAGAAGTCTGAAGGATGAGAATTTTTAAAAGAGAACCTGAATAGGAATCTCCAGTATTAGAGAAAAGAAAACTTTTTTTCCATTATCATCACTTCACGCTAATCAATTCACATCAATCTTTTGAAAATATAACCTTTATTCCTATTTTTCACCATTAAACTAGAGGAAAGAAAAATAGTTTAAGAAAACAGCACATAACAGAAAGGAACACCCTGTTAAGGCTTTTTGTTGTAAATATAAATATAAAGTAGTAAGGGAAAATATCACTAATACAGACTAACTATAAGGAAGACCTTATATATTAATGAAGCACTATAATTATATTAAGAAATTCAATTGCACTGCCTTCATGTACCTGTAGTATCACAGTTAATAAGATATAGCATACCACGAGTACTTAAATTTAATGAATAGGTAAAAAACTTATTTTAATTAAAAAATCATTTATGCAAATGATAGTTTTGAAGTGCTTGAAAATGTAACAAAACATTTTTTCTGTGAATTGAAACATTCCACATAAAATGACCAACACACACAGTATCAGCATCCTAAAGTCCTACACTAACTTCTAAAGTAAAACTAATCACATGTACTATACCTATCAATTTTAGAAAATGAAATTGCCAGAAAAAAAACAAAAACCTACTTGCCCTATAAAACCTTGATTTTCTTTGCCCTTTGCTATGGTGCTTTCAATGCACAGAAATGCTAGACTTTATTTGTTCTCTGTTTCTAAACTCAGAGACAATCTGAAGTGTGATAAGGTGTTTGTTGTTCTACTCTGGGCTTTCTGTTTATTTTGTTTCATTGCAAAAGGTATGCTACCTCACTTTATTTTTTTTTTAAGATTTTATTTATTTATTTGTCTGAGGAGAGAGAGAGAGAGCACACAAGCAGGGGGAGTGGCAGGCAGAGGGAGAAGCAGGTTCCCCGCTGAGCAAGGAGTTCAATGCAGGACTTGATCCCAGGACCCTGGGATCATGACCTGAGCTGAAGGCAGATGCTTAACTGACTAAGCTACCCACTAGTCCCGCTACCTTACTTAAAAAAAAAAAAATCAAGCTATCCTATATCACATTTCAAATGACTATGGGAAAGACTAAAGCAAATGTGGACAGAAATAGAAATTTTTTTCTTTTCTTTCTTTTACCATCTTTATCACACTCACCAATTCTTAACTTTACTTCTTCTAAAAGAGAAGTACAGTGAGAGGTGTGTAACAGCTCATTTTGGGGTTTCAGGCATAGCATTGGCATGGATTTTTAGGATTTTTAGGGCATGATGTATGTGGTTCCCAATAAAGACCAGAGGGACACAACTGTATTATCTTATTAATGAATTTTATATTCCTGCATACACTCAGTCTCCAATATATGCAATTTTTAAGTTAAAATTTAACTGTAACTGCCATAAAATGTCTTCTTAATAGCCACTAACAACACAGATACCCTTTCTAGAAATATACAAGAAAGAGGTGAGAGTGCCCAGGACCTGGAGACTGTTCTGTTCAGTAAGGGATCCAATCATCCAAGACAGGGCCAGGAACCCAGCCACACTCAGTAAGAAAGTGTCAGATGACCCAACAGGCTGGCAACAGAGGTGGATGATTAGGACCCAGAAATAGCAGAGGCAAAGCACATCTACTTTCACAGCTTAATAACCAACAAAGAATCAGCAAAAAGGCCGAGAAACAGAACAAATAACACCTCATCCACTTTTCCCATCTAACCCTCTCCTATGGCTCTTGCTCATGATTCTGTTCACCTTCCAATCTCAGCTCAAATGACCCTCATCAGAGAGGTTTCCTTCATCATCCCCCAGGCTAAATTCAGAGCCTGGCTACTTGCCATAGTCATGGCTGCATGCAGGGGTCCTGATCACTTGGCACCCATCTCTCTTGCTGGACTGTAAGTGCCATGAGGACAAGGACAGTGATTGGCTGACTGTCCATTTCCCCTCAGCAGCTAAGACACTGCCTGATGCCTGTGTCTGCTGAATGAATGGAAGAGTGGATGAAGGCCATCAGTGTTCAGAGGGGTACACACAGAGGAGTTCGGCAAACACTTCCAAGACAAACCCACCCCAAGCAGTGAACTGAAAGCAGCATTTCCTGGCTGAGAGGCTACTCTACGGTGCTGGCTCTGAGCCTGTGACCTGGGAGGGCTCTGAACCTGTGACCTGGGAGGGCTTTTCCTACCACCCACTGGTCAAGGTGACACAGTGATTACCAGCGATAATTCTTACTGCACTCACACTTCACAGGAACATCCTATCCAATAGAGGCCCTTAGAGGACATTGCTTGAAATCCCCTCAAACCACAGAGGAAAAATTCTAACCCCAGAGAGGTTAGATAACACCAAAAACTACTGTGCAGTAAAGTCAGGACTAATGCCTGTGTCTCTTGCCTCTCCAACCAACTGTTCTTCCCATGCTACTTCTGAACGTCCGGTAAACCTAAATGGTAAACATAAATTCCCTAAACCGAAATGCCTTAAACCTGACAATATTCAAAGCAGGGAAATCAAGGGGGAGAAAATGAAGAAAGAGTAAAGAGAGAAAGGCAATTTACCCAGGACACAGATTCACAGAGTAATCCTGAGCCTCACATTCAAGAGCCCCCACTACAGCAAGCAGGCTAACATCATTCTGTCTTCTACACATACACACACACACACACACACACACACACACGTTCTATTTATACTGGGAAGATGGGTAGGCCTAACCAGAAAATAAATTAATTCGATACTGCACTTGAAAAATGTCATCAAGTCCCTCCCATAATAGAGCAACAGTTACTAAGGAAATAGAGCACACCAAACGGAAAAACATCCCCACAGGAAGGAACACTTTTTAAAAAATGAACACCCACAAAACCTAACCAAGTAAGTTATAGAATATGTTTGCTTTACCACTTATTCATAAAAACTTACATGAAATGCAGTCTCCTAGGAATCACTGGGGAATGAGAACTGCATTCATCAGATCACAGCTTTCACAAAATTACACTACAAAAATAGATATATGTAATTCAGGAAACATTAGGGTCACACACTAGGCACAAAGGCCAAAATCCAGAAGCAAAGTGAAATAATCTTTTTAAAAAATCTAGTAACATTCAAGAAACTTGTAGTGTGTAAGGAATAAACACTGCAGTTTCATTTTTTATTTCCTCTAACTGTGGACAGACTGCTTCACTGGCTGAGTGTCGGTTACCTAGGTGATGGCTAGACTGAGCAGCCTAACGGGCTCCAGGCTGAAGGGACTCAGGGAGTTGAGGCCCCATGCCTGTGTCTGATGATTTGTCACTGCTCTACCCACCAAAGAAGTCCCAGGGAAAAAGGAAGACTGAGAAATGAAGAGACAGCTCTAACCTTGACCAAAAAAAAAAAACAACATAAAAATTAACACATTGAGTTAAGTACTGTACTGCTTACTGAAAAAAATCTCAACTACTGGCAGGCTCACTTACGTTTAAAGTGATAATGGACTTTCAGCAAGACAGGTGTAAGAATAAGTAGAGAGAAGAAACCTGAGGATCTATTTCCAACCAGAGTTTGAATCAGGTGTCACCCTGGGAGAGAGATGTCACACTTTCCCACATGAGCTCCTCTACCTCATGAACAAATAGCTTGGACCTTGTCAAGTACCCATGAGTCTCAACATTTCCTCACAGCAAAAAAAGTATGTCCTTGGAAAAAACATGGCCCCTACCCTCAAGGCAGCCATGGGCCAGAGAGCACCAGACAGGGCATCCTTTCCCTGGTTCTGGGCCCACTTACAGGACTTGGTCAAGTCCCTCAGCCTGTCAGGCTTCCACTTTCTCATTTTAAAGTGAGAACATGAAACTTGAGGTCCCTTCTGATCCTGAGTATTCTCCTGTGGCCCTGTCTCTGGTCGAGGGAGACAGGACAATGTATATGAAAAGAACATAATGACCAAGCACAGAATATCTGCACATAAAC